CGATGATCGGAGCAGTTAAAGGTTCACAGATTTTTAACTTGGCTGTCTGCGGCGGCGGAGTCCAAACTTCATATGAACATCGGCACGTGGACTGATTCCCTTTATACAACAGACGCCCTGCTGTCAATGCCAAAGTGCTTTTGAACATTCACTCTGATGGCTGCGTCGGAGAGCAAACTGGGGTTCAGCGTTGGGCGTTCAGGGATCAAACCCCCAACCTTCCAGTTATTAGATGAGCTGCTCTGCCTCCTGACCCACAGACCCGAAGAATCGAGCCTTGTTTCCCCGTTAGCCTGGTCACCACGGCAGGCATGTCCCACTGAAAGCTGACAGGCCAGACATTCAGGTCGAGGTTATCGAGAGCCCTCAAAGGGCGTTGGATGGGACAAATGCTCGCACACCTGGAGGGTCAGTGCTCATTTGCACGTATGAGCTCTAGAACTGCCACAGTGTAGGATGGGCCATCAGAGGAACCGTAGCTTTAATGAGCCAGTGTCCGTTTCACTGCGTGCGCGTGGACCTGTGCGGCTGAACCTCTGAGACAAACATGTGGTACTGACAGGAACTGCCCCGAGGCCTCGTCCCAGGCGGACACGCCCAGAACACCCCAACCGGCTCCTTCGGGTTTGACCTGAGCAGTACACAAACATCACAGTGACATCAGGTCGAGTGGACGGCACAGCTGAGCAGCATTGGCTGATGATCCTCCCATGCCAGCCAATCAATAACAGCGGGGCGTGGCTTTCTTTAGTGGGAGGGTCGTAACCTCCAATAAGACATAAGTGTTACGCCTTCAGACTGACGTGAAGGTGTGGATTTGTGTGCAGTAGACAGTGAGTGCAGACTTTCCCACACCGAGTGAATCAACAATGGGAAGTGAAAGTTTCAAAGGTGGTCATTTAGGAACGTGTGTGAGGTTTCCGCGCTGCTGTGTGTGTGTTTGTTAACGTTGGTACGCCTGAAGCCCTCCTGAATAAAAATCCTTCCTCGTTCTTTTTCCTTTGTGATGTTTTCCTAAAACTGATGGATTCACAGATAAGAGTAAAAACTGCCGTCAGCTGCAGCCGTGTTGCATAATAGCAGGTCCCGTAAACCGACACGTGCTTCCATCCATTTATGTCCATTTATTATGGATGATAAGTTTTCAGCTCCTCTCCATCAGGCTGGCAGAGAGCGGAGTATTTATAGGAGGAAGGAGGAGAGATGAGGGAGGGAGAGGGAGGCAGAGGTACAAAGAGGGAGAGAGAGAGAGGGAGGAAAACCCAGACACAATAAGAAGAAAAGAGAGACAAAGAGGAGGAGGGCGAGCGAGGCACCATGCTGAGGAGGAAGAGGAGCGTGTCGTTCGGAGGCTTCGGATGGTAAGAGTGCTCGCCCTTTGATGAATGGCTGAATGGTCTCAGCAGCTCTGTCCGGCACACTTTCTCCGGGTTTTTGAGTTCATCTCCAGCTCGAGCTGCAAGGAATGACATCACACTGACATCATCAGCTGTGAAGTCAAATTGTTACATTCACGTGGAGGGATTGTGAATGTTGTTTAGATCAGGCGAGGGAAGCTGAACGTTAACGAAGTTAAAATGGGACCTTTTTTGAATGGACGTTGGTGGGAAAGTTGTCGGGGCTCTGCGAGTTCGTTCTTTGTGAGTGTGAGACGCTTTTCTGTGTCGTCTGTGTTTCCAGTCGACCGACGGCGAGTTAATCAGCAACTTTCTGCGTTCGGACGAATCCAAAGGACAGTTTAGCTCTGCAGGCGTCTGTCCTCCCGGTCCAGCCTCCATCCTGCCCGGCCAACCAAGAAACCAGCCGTGGCT